GCATGGCGGTGGAGGGCGGAGGAGCAGAGGAGATCTACGCCCGCGGCGCTAAACCCCAACTCTATCCTCCTCCCGTTCCGGCTGCATCTCGTGGCTTCCATCAATGCCCGTTCATGGGTCAAGTCTCGCCTTTCTTGGATGATATGGGGCACAATCGGATCGTGTAGAGGACTGAGCAGATCAATGTTCTCCTTTGTGTTAGGGTATGGGATTATTGATAAGCTGCGCGAATCATGGCCTCTCGGCTTTGCCTCATCCCTTTGAGATCACTCGGAGCAGGAAGCCTTGGATTGGTAGGTTCGACGATCTCTACAAGAAGAGATAGGTGGTGGGCGGAACTCTGATTTGGTAAAGCTTGGAGTGATAGCACATTCTGTCGATTGCGGTAGAGGCATCGGTACGCAAAGCGAGAATCTCCCATTGCACCCATGCCGATCATCAAGCAGTGTGCATGCCGGTAGAGTTCTTTGTAGGTTGACTGAGATCAACATGTACTTTTTTTTTCTTTATTGGTTGTTGTGATCAATCTGGATCGAGATGCTCATTATATGGGTATAAGATCACTACTTTTTGGTCTGCTATCTCTGTAGATGAGGTGCTCATCTTTTGTTTTTTGTTTGTAGTTTGGTTTTGTCCCAACAGCCAGAAGGTTCTGCATCAAGGTTCTCTCTCTAATTCCATCGATCCTGTGTCTGTGCCAGGTGCAGTCAAGGTGCGTCCCAGACCTTTTTATTTCTCATGCATGTGACTGTAAGATTCTTCCTCTTCTGTATCAAAAAAGAGTCCCTTGTACTGAACTGCAGAAAGCCATGGGCATCAAAAGACGAAAGAGAAAGCGTATCCCCATCAACCCCTCACCGGCAACAAACCAACAGTAGACTTCCATTACAACCTTACTAAGTTAACACAACAGCAACTACATCAGCCACCACCACTACTACTACTAGCTGAGAGCCCCCACCACGGATGCTCCTGCTCTCCAAAAGGCAAACACCGCCAACAAACCCCACTGCCAAATACCTCCGACCCTCCAACGACCTCCATGCAAACTACAATCTCTCTCTCTCTCTCTCTCTCTCTCTCTCTCTCGCTCCCTCTTCCTCTCTCTCTCTCTCTCTATATTCTCACTATCACAACAAGATCCTACTGGTACTACACCCCTAGCTAGTAGTTGATTCATGGATCATGAACTTAACTACTCTAGCAACTAAATCAACAGACCGAACTCACTCTATTGCGTGCTACTTCTACTGCTGCTGCTACTATTACAACTAGTATCGTCACAGGTACTACTAGCTAGTTCGTTAGCCACTGAAACCTTGGAATGGAATGAAGGAAGATGAGTCGAGGAGCGCCATGCACGGGGTGGCCAGGCGAGGCTCGTAGGCGAAGCCACGCAGGCCGCCGCAGCCGCTGCTGCTGCTGCTGCCGCCGCCGTGGAGGAAGCGGCATGGCGGAGCCCACCGCCACTCCTTGCGATAGAAGTCGAACAGCAGCACGTCGTTGGACCCCTTGATCGTGATGGCGAGGAAGTCGCCGTGGCCGACGCACTCGAACCCACGCCCGCCCTCCGCCTCGCTGAATTGAGCGTGCACGTCGTGGGGCATCCGGTCGATCTCCGCCCAGGCGCGGCCGCACGGCTGCAGCGCCCACATCCTCACGCTGCGCGGCACGCTCAGCTTGCTCTTCTCGACCGCCGCAACCAGCACCACCCTCCCGCCGCCGCACTCCACTATGCTGGGGGAGCGCAGGAAGCGCCGCATGGGCGGCTGGATCTTCTCCCACGCGTTCGTGCCCACGTCGTAGGCCATCACGCCGAAGGGGCCGCAGCTCATGCAGTAGAAGCGCCCCGCGGCGTACGCCATCCTCCCCGGCTCGAAGCTGCACAACCGCGGGAGCGCGCTCCCCGTCGCCCACGGCGAGTAGAACCCGGTCACGCCGTCGGCGTGGAAGCACTCGGCGGTGAGGTTCTTGACGGCGAAGGGCGATATCATGTCGTCGCCGGCTACCACAGCGCTGATGGAGGACGGGCCGACGGTGAGGCCGACCGTCGGAAACAAGCGAGGCGTCGGCGTCGGGGGGAGCTGCGAAGCTAACTTGGAGAGGAGGTTGCAGAGGACCAGCGTCTTGGAGCCGGCGTCGTCAGAGATGAAGCAGAGGACGCCGTGGGAGGAGGCGGCGGGGGAGAAGCCGGGAGGGATGATGGTGCCGAGAGGGATACGGTGCCAAGAGTTGGAGACGGGGTCGAGGAGCAGCGCGGGGGCCGGCGGCGGCCTGTTGGCGGTGGAGGTGGTGGTGGTGGCGGCGGCGGCAGGGGAGGAGGAGGAGGAGGACGACGACGACGACGCCGCGGAGGTGGAGTACAGCGGGGGTTTGGAGGGGAGGAGGAAGAAGGCGAAGCAAGGGAGGGTGGGAGCGAGGCGGAGGTGGAGTTCAAGAAAGCTGTCGGAAAAGACGAGGGCGTACCAGCGCTTGCAGACGGCGCGGGCGCGGAAGAAGGCCGCCGGCGGGAGGAAAGCGAGCACGCGGTCGACCAGGCCCTGCGGGAGGTGGCGCCAGATGCGAGGGTCCATAGGGATAGCGCTGGAGGAGGAGGTGGCGGCGGTCATGGCAGCAGCGAAAGCCTCCTCCATCGCCCTCTACGCAAGCTACCTAGCGATGGAACACGAGGAGCGATGAAGTGGTGCAACTGCAGGTGCTTGGCTGATCACCCCTGTGTGCCCTTGAGTGTGAAGAGTGATGGGGGAATAGTATATAACATAGAAGGAAGAAAAAGAGAGAGAAGTATGGTTTCTGTGTGGTGTTATCAATCCATCTCATCATCTCATCTCACATGCGCCGGTGAAGGACGGATTAAGGGACAAAAGAAACAGTGACAGTGAGAGTATATTTATATGTGGTGTGCCGTTGACGTGAAAAGACAATTCAATTGAATCAGATCGTTGAGACAGGACAAAAGATAACTATAGAATTATAATAACACGGGTCAATCTTATTTATATATATAATAATAACAATAATAATAATAATAATAATAACAATAAATATGAACAACTTTAGGTGGATGACGATGATAATGTCACATGAATCGAGGATAAACCAATGCATAACCAAAACAATAATTTCAATAATCGTTAACTATTATCCTTAGTTTGAAAATTATAATTTAATATTAGAATTATAAAGCACAAACTAAATTGAATTCATATTCATCTCCCAAGTCTAAATGACTATGTAAAAGATTGATACCAAAATGCATAATGTGTGGATTGATGTATACGGACAAGGAATGCCTTTTTTTTTTAAGGAAAAAAAATATATAAAGAAGAAAATACATCAGATAGGTAAGGAGAAGCTAAAGAATCGTACCTCCAAAAGAAGGAGACCAAGTGGATTCTCCCAAACAAAACATATATATATATATATATATATAATGAGGCAGGCGGAAATGTAGCTTTAAGAGGAAGTGTGGGTCAGAACAAGAAGAGATTGAGAGAAGTAAGAGATAAGATAAGCTTCTGTAATGAGTTGGGTTTGCAGGAGCTCAGAGGATCTGCAGCCGTGGTGCATCAAAGAGATCATCTCCGAGGAGGAGAAGATAAAAAGAAAGGAAAAAGAGAAAAGGGAGAAGGGTGGTGGTGGCGGTGGCGGTGCTAAGGCCTGGATTCATATGTCCAATCCTGTGTTGAGGCTGAGGCAATGGGGGTTGACGGGGCACTGCGCTGCTACTTTGGCGTCAGGGGGTGCCGAAGGACTGAAGCAGACGCAGAGAGAGAGAGAGAGAGAGAGAGTGTGTGTGTGTGCAATGTCCATCACCGGTCACCTTTCCTTCCCCTACTCCTGTGGGTTGCTATATTTGTTATGTGGAGCCGCTGCAGCCCCCGCTTTGCCGCTTTCTTTATGGTTGGTTCCCATGGCTCATCGACGACATTGATGTGTGTGTTAGGGGGAAGGGGGAACAGTGCCCATCTCTCACCTCAGCCACTCCCATTGGATTCAACAAACCAAGCCTATGCTTTGCAAAGCCCATGAACAGCAGCAACACTTTCTTGCCCCATATCCATCTACCACCTGCCTAAAACCTTTGACTCTCTTGCTTTATAGAGTCAAAAATTACTTGAACATGCCTATCCTTGCACACCAGTGAAAATATATATATATATATATATATAAAATCTTTGGTGTGATGCTTTTGTGTTCTCTAACCATCTACCATATTCACACAACTAAAGGAGTCCAAACTGAGTCAACTCAGCATTTAAGGGTGTGTACATGTAAAAAGCATCTAAACATCGTGACCGTCGGATAAGCAGATCCGAGATCATTGGATAAACATGCATCAGCGTTTGCCAACGCATACATATCAAACACATTGATGGTCGCATATCCATTTCATCAGGGAGAGAAGTAACTACATCTGTACACGTCGGACGGAAGACGATTTCAAACTACCCCGCCGTCTCTTGAATCGAGGAAGAAGGGGGAGAGTGCGGAGAGCGTCTTGCTTTGCCCTCGACGACTCCGTCCGAGCTCGATGGTGATGCTCCGCGTGGGTGCCCTTGGCCGCGACCTTCCTGCTCCCCTCCGTCCTCTCTGCCGCCGGGCAACCGATCCCGCCTTCTCTCGATTCTCTCGTCGTAAATCGCCAGATCTTGGTCCCTTCTCTTTCTTGACCCATCTTTCCTCCTTCTTTTGCGGTTCTTCTTCAATCTCGTCCTGTTGTTTTGGTTCCTGATTGGTTTTTGTTTGGTTTCCATCGATAAAATATGGTTTTGGTTGGTGGCCAGATGAGCGTGGAACTACACGTAGCCGTTGATCGATTGAGGAAATCGGGACTGTTGAGGTCCCAGGGGTTTGTCGGCGGCAAGTGGATCGATGCCTACGACGGCATGACCCTTCAGGTACCTCTCGAGGCGTATGCCTTCTTGTTTCCGATTCTTGAAGGTGTTCCTGTTTTTCTTGGAGTCGATGTTCTAATGGTGTGCCTTCTAATTGTATGGACGATGAATTGGTTGAAGGTGTGAACATTGAGGGCGGTCCATGTGGTAATTTAATCGAAATACAGTCAGGGAATTGGCCATTACCAAAAAACCAAGAACCATGTTGGAATCTGGAAAGAAAATCTCACGACCAAACTCATCTTGTTTCTGATTCTTGAAGGTGTTCTTGTTTTCTCAGAGTTGATCTTCTTACATGTGTTTTTTTTGCCTTCCTAGTTGTACGGATCTGTGAAGGAATAATAGAAGGAGCCTAAGAAATGAAGACTAAGACTTTTCTTATTTTCGTAGGTACAAAATCCTGCTACTGGTGATGTTATCACTAGTGTTCCATGCATGGGCAAGGATGAGGTACCTGATGCAATATCCTCTGCATACAGTACATTTACTAGTAAAAAATGTTAAAAGCTTTCTTTAAAATGATACAAAGAAACATTGAAGCTGTTTAATACATAGGGTTTCTATTTTCTAATGCTAGATTAGACCTTTGAGTTTCTGATATTATCATGTTTTATTGTTAATACATTTCAGAACATATTCTGCATGCTCTTATGATTTGGAAAATGCGTATATACTCTAGGTGATGTTTATTGGGCATTGGTGGTGTTGGCAAATTTTACCATATCATGACTATTTGTTTATGAGGGTGCGTTTTTAGTGCAGATATTAGTGCAAGTTGGTTAATTGCCTGGTGGGTGAATATTGACCCAAGCCTTTAGTACATATACCCTGCTCTTGTTATGTCACTGTCATAATTATTGGCTGATTTAATAGTGTCTCTCGTTTGTTTGTCCTAATAGGTTATCTAATTCACACACACTGAAGATGAATAATTATTGTAAAATCATAAGTTTCAAGGTCTAGCTGCAGGGAAATGATCCTCCTTTGGTTTTGGATACTTATTTACTCAAATGTGAGAAGTTGACATATCTTCATGTAGTTGCTTGTTGGATAATTTAGACTTTCACCTTCAGATGATAACAAAATGCTATTATTTATGTTTTTTGCTAGTGAAAGAAGGTTGTTTTGACTATGCAACTAATTTTGTAGATTGAGGGCAACCTAACAGGGAGATGAATCAGATTTTTCAATTAGAAAGTAGAAGTTAACACTGATTTTGGTCACAACAAATAGGATGACAAGAAATTAAGCATTAGCGAATACCTTTGGATAAACAAGAGAATAAAATGAGACACATATAGAGAAAAAAAGTCAGTTATATGGGTAATTGGCTACACCCAGCTTCTTTATTCCAAGATCTCCTATTTCATTTTTTTTCAAAAGGATAAAATCATTTTACTTTTAACAACCTCTTATGATAAACCATGCCCCTTGGAGCACAAAATACACCAAGACCTGGGGGCCCAATCTTGCCCCCATATCATTGAAGTTTTAGTAGTTGTAGTAAAATTTGCTAATCAGTGAGCACTACAATTAGCCTCACAAAATACATGAATGAATTTGTATTCAGGAAATTTATCAGATAGACTTAAATTATACATAAAACAGTTTAAAAGGACCCCAGGGGATCTGTTCAAAATTTATCTGCTTCTTAGCATTAGATTCCACTACCAATCTTGAGATATCCAGGCTAATAGCACACTCCAGTCCCAGCTATAATTTTATAGCCATTAGCTCAGCTCTCTAGCTGTTTCCCTTGGAATATAGGCTCCTCCAGCGAGCAAGATCTGTATATGAAAATTTTTTCTTTTACCCATTGTTTTATCACGTGTATCAGGGATTAAATTCTTGCATATTTTCTCCAATTTTTAATGAAAATTTCATATGGGGTTTTTTACTTCTACATAACAGAAGCACTCAACAAAAAAGAAATAAAAGAAGGCTCCGAGTAGAAAAACAAGTGCCAAAAAGATGCTAAGAAGAGCGTATATTAAGTAAAATTTAAGATTTGTTATCAATGATAAATTGAGATCACACTAAAAGAATAAGGGGGATATTAAATGTTTACTCAAGTTATGTAGGAGTTGAGCTAACGAGCCACAAACTATGGAAATTTGAGAGAGTGATGGAATGAAAAACCACTCGGTTCAGATGGGTTGAAAAATCAGAATAAACTGATTGACCCGATCGATTTTTGGATAACCCGCACGAATTGACTTGGTTAAATAAATCGATCCGGATTCATAATATAGCAAAAGATTACTTAAATATCCTAGCTTAAACCTTTTCTATTATTTGTTTAAGAGAGCATTTATATCAATCATGAAATTAGAGTTGACATGAGAAATAAATTAAAATCAATCCAGTTTAGTATAATTACCAACAATATTTATGTTTATAATGTTGATTAATATTATCAAATTTATTAATTTTATATATTTTTGAATTAGTTATAATATTTTAGATTTTTATTATGTATAATTTTTACTCGATATATTTTAAAATATTCTTTAAATTAAACATGTGGTCCAGCCAATTGACCCACCAAGTGACCTAGGGACCCAAAGCTTGATCGAGTTGCTTTCCGATTTGGTTGTGATAACTATGCTTGGAGTTACCGGTAAAGATAGAATATAAATAATTATAAAATTCTGAAAAAAACTTTAAGATAGTATGAGCATGTCTATGGGGAGTCTATATAGCAATGAGTAGGATAGACTAAAGAAATGTTTTGACAACCATATGATTTGTTTTTTTTATATTTTAAATCAATGGTTTTATCCTCAATTTAGCTAACTGTTTGGAGACGATCCATGTGGCTAACCCCAAATAGTTGGGATGTGTAGTGTGCTGTTTGTTTTGTTGTTGTTCCTGTTAATGCTAGAAAAAGATATCCCAATCTGTTGATTAGATTCTTGAGTTTAGAACGATGTAATACATGATACAAATTTAAAGAGGCACTAAGTGGCCTTAACTTTTAAGAAAAATTAGTCATTAGTGACTCTGAAGATCATAGAAGCTATATTATAATTGACTGCAATGTTATTTCTATGGATCACTTTTCAGCCAGTTGTGGATGAAATGGCCAGTTGACCGAACATTGCACCTTCTGAGCACTAGGATTGCTGTTGTGTGGGTTCCTACAACACATTGCACTAATCTAGTTGATCACATTTGTGCATGAGTTGACTGCTCATACCGAAATTTTGGCAAATTCCTTATGAACCAGATCCAAGCTGTTGCTCAAAGCTCTGATGGTTCATAAAGGATATAATGCAAATTCTCAGGTTTGTTTAACTAAGGGTAGTACCTCTCTTTAATCTTTATTTACTTAAGGTGTTCAAGTTCATTAGAAAGTTTCCCAAATTGTGTTTTCAATGATTGTCATCAAAATAAATCTACACGAGATAAAAAGTACCTCCAATGGCAATCCCATAATAATTTAACAGCCTGAAATTCCCGTTTGTGAATACCGAGGGAATGTCTAAGATAAAGATTAGAAACTCTTAAATGTTTCTTTTCTATGTTAATCATTAGTATTTTGTTTGTTGAATTTGGTTCGAAGTTAATAGGTCACTATTTTATTGCCACTAATTTTAGTCCAAAACAGTGGTTTAAGTCAATGAGGAAGCACAAAGTGATGTTTAAACTTGATCATTAGTTTTTTGTATATTTAATTTGTCATTATTGTCTTACCGAGCTCTTCAAGTTTAGTGTCTTCAACTACTTTTTCATGATTGAATACTTTTTGCTCGTAAAGGATCTTTCAAATATCATTCAGGCCTCCATGGTTTTTTAAACTCATAGTAAATCAATAGAAACCAAAATCTTATATGAAATTCATCGAATTCTTCGCGTAATAGATAGTGATCTATGGAGAGTTGATAATGACTTTGTGGATTTAAGGAGGATTGTAATTTTTACCAGATTTGTTTTATATGATGTTTCTCTTTGCAGCTTAGAGCAAATTCACTGCAAGTGACAGGAGCAAGTTTCTGAGGAAATGGTAAAGATTATATGATGATCTACAATGAGATTTCATATATCGTAGATGTTCTATTGTTGTAAAGGTTTGCATCTTGATGCTTTATAATTAATAACAGATACAAGTGAAACCTAAAGATGGATATACTGTCAAGCAAGGGAACTTGTAGTATTGATCAGTAACAGGGCAATCTCGACTATTGTCGATCTGTACTGATCAGTAATCAACTAGTATATTGTTTTGACGATCAAAGTACATTATTTCGACCGTCAAATTTGATCGAAATTTTACCATTGGGTTTTCCCTTAGGTTAATTCAAGCCCCATTCTGTAGCATCTCCTCTTTCTCACTGTCGTTCTCTTGATTTTTTTTAAATCTAAATATGGTCCGAGCTTGTGACCATATTTGTCTCGGTTGGAAGAAAACCTAAGTGGCTTCTCGTTCGATTGTTCCTCCTACTATTGCTCTCTTTATCCTCATGGTAGGGATTGGTTGTTTTATGGTAAGCTTTTGGTTGTGTTTCTTCTTCTCGAATTAATGTTTTCAGATATGATGGAACATAGAAGATGGAAGAAAATATAGAAGAGCCAACATCAACGAGTACTTTCCAAATTTGCTCGTTGGATTGCTACAAGTATATAATGGGCCATCTTCGTTCATCCTGTAAATATTCCACACAACTATGGCCTTAGACACTGCTACGGAAGCACGTCCTCCGGCTTGGTTCTTTCGGTTGCCGGTGTCCATAGCGAAATCGACAACAAAGTGTTCTTCTTGTATTAATTATGCCTTTTCCAGAGTGGCATCATTGAGTTTGTCGGGATACGTAGGGTCTGGCGGGTTACCCTCGACTCTTGCGCTCGCTAAAGAGTTCTAAAGCTTGAAATTAGTTAGTGTGTTGTGAACTTGGTACTGGTTCGTTTTCATTATCATATATATAATTTGTTTTGGTTTTGGCTTTACGGGTAATCGATAGGATTGCAGCAATTGTATCTTTCCCAGCTCTTCGTTGGGCTGTGGCATTATTATAGTAATGGTTCGAGATTTCATAAGAAATATGAGTTTCAAAAATATTTTGAAGACTTTTTATGATTTAAGTTATCGTAACTACTATAGAAATATATGTGCTCGAGGATCAATTTTAATTATATATAATATCTTGAGGTATTTAAAGTCTTGAGATGTGAGAGACATGATGTTATGGAAGAGAGAGACGAAGGGGGGAGGGAGTGAGAGAAGGGATAGTGCGAGGAGGAGGAAGTTGGTGATAGGGTGGAGGGTGTGAGGGAGTGGGGGATGGGGTGGAGGAGGTGGCATTGGGAGAGGTAGAGGAGAGACGAGGATATGGATGTCGGGGGTGAATGAAGGATGGTCGCCTCCTCCCTCCTCCATCTCCCTGTCCCTTCGCCTCACCACTCCCCCACTCCCTCACTCTCTTCCCCCATCGACATGATCAACCTACCAAGAAACACCTCATGTGCACAACACCAATATAAAGCAAGAAGAAAATGAACCTTCAATACCAATTTAAAGCAAGGAGAGAAGCGCCTCGATGATCCAAAGAATGACTCCTTCAAGAATTAAGGATAGTTGACATAAAGAAAGAAAAGAAAAACTTTAATCCATTGATGATTCGTTCCAACCAATTGTCTAAAGAAATTGAAAGTCTCATGCAACATCATATGTTAGGAACTAGAGATTGAGAGGGGCAAACAAAAACAAAAGGACATTCAAGAAATCAATGTAACACCCACTAAATACAACTAAGAAAGGTATAACAAAATCCACCGACATGATTAACCTACTAGAAACACCTCATCCATAGAACACCCACGTCAAACAAAAAGAAAATGAACCTTTAAGAATCAAATAAGAGGAAAGAGGGCTCTCAATGATCCAAAATAAGACCTCGTTTCTTGATTATTGTTTCTTGCAAACTATATCGTGATCAAGTGAAGGCTTGAGAAACGAGGGGTTTTGGAAGAAATCGAGACCGTCATAATTAAACATATAAGAAATGTCTCATCTATGTAGCATGTATATAATATAAGAAGAATAACTATCTTCGAGAATCAAATAGCGAGGAGAGGATAACTTTGATGGTTGATGTCACGATCCAAGTCTGATGAGCTAACTAGCTAATAACTCTATTTCGATCCTTTAACCACGGACCAAAATGCTTAAGCAAAAATTATTACACTCATCAAACCCATATAAGTCAATCATAGTCATTGTCTACTTCTGATGTGGGACTAAATAAGGTGTTACTTCCTTTTCCCTATTATCATCCCATGTGAATGGGATTTTACATGCAAAATCATGCATGAGAGCACCAAATTATCTGATGGATACGTGAAGAAGGCAAGAGCATATGCCCCATGATTTCACAAACAAAGAAGAAGAAGGGGGGAGAGGAGAGGCGATGAGTGAGAAATGAAATCAAATCAAACATTTGTTTAAGTTCAAAGAGCTTATATAATGGGTCATCCAGCGGGACTTGGCTGATTAACCAAACTTACGATTTAAGTCCAGTAGAGGAGGGAGGAGGTGGGGGGGGGTGGCAGCGGGGGAGGGAGTGGAGGATGACAACCCACCATCCCCCCCCCCCCCCTCTGCCTCTCTCGTCTCTCTCCCCGTCTCTCTCGACCTTGTCTAAAGGAGAGGAGAAGAAAGGAAAAGAGCGAGAAATGAAATCAAATTAGACATTTGTTTAGGCCAGGAGGGATTATATAGTTTGCTAATAAGATTTAGTGAATTAACTAAATTTATGATTTAAATCATGAATGTTAAGTAAGAGATAGTGTCTCAGATAATATATTATCTCATATAAGATATGAAAAATGAAATGTTTTTCTATGGTGGAATACATATTTCTATGGCAAATGAAATGTTTAGGGAAAATATAAAGGAAACATGCGTCATATAAGATATGAAAAAATGACCAACAACAAATATATGATAATAGTTAATTATTTAGTGAAGGGGAAAATATATGTTGATACAATATAAATCCTCGATCAAATTCACAAAAGAATATGATCCAAATTTCGAAATTGACCTAAAAAAGATCCAAAAAAAAAATCAATAGCTTAATTCTGAGATATTTTGCAAATTTATTTATTTTTTCTTTTATTTTGCTACTTAAGATTAGAAACAATTGAAATGTGAAATAATCATCCTCAAAAGTTTTGGTTCTCTTCCCGACTTTTCCATACAAACATATAAACAAACGACTTGCGGGCGGACATCCACACTAACCCCCTCCCTACTCAATATCGACAAGCGGAAACGATAAATAGTAAATGAAGAGGAATGATAACAGTGAGAACGGTACCTTTCTTCTCCACCATCCACGACGAGGAATCGTCGACCTTCATGTGTGACCTCGCAGCCGAAGATCTTCTTTATCATATGAAGTGAGCGCTTGTCGACCTGGGTAAGGACGTCCTTCTTTGCAGCCCATCAGTCTTATCTCAATGCCATTTGGACCACAACAAGGATACAAACAGAGCAAATGACAAACGAAGGTCTAAGTATGCATGCATATTACCTCTTGTATTAAAGCATCACATTACATCTTTTTACTTCACCAAAAACGTTTTAACTACCAATCTCTCTCTCTCTCTCTTTCTCATATATATATATATATATATATATATATATAAGGTATATTTTGGGCTCCAGTCACGTCACAACCGACGTCGCACCACATCACCACCAGATCAACAAGAAAAGTACTCTCATGTGTCAAGCTAGGATCCGTACAAGATACCCCTCGGGGCATCCCGTCCCAATAAACTCGGGACGACACCATATGGTGCTATTCCGGGACGACGGTCGCACAAAGGTACTACCCCACTTCTCAAAGATCGGTCGTCGCGCCAAACCCGCGTACGACCGATTCTCGCACAGTAGTATAAAAAGTCCTTTACCAGCATCTGGCTAGGGAAGGAAAAAAAAAGAGAGAACCAAATACTAACTTAAGCGTCGAGGGGTCAAAGTCAGGAACCATCCGACGAGGGCCTTCTGTGCAGGAGTGCAGACATCCCCAGAAGCGCGACCACTCCGACCGAGAGGCGCCTTCCTTAGACTAACACGGCATCCCGACCCACGGGTGTAATCAATCTCGACAACCCGTTCGACTGACCGTAGACTTCCGACATCGACCCGTGGATCTGATCATGCTGACTCACTAGCTACGATGCATCTGTTCACCAACAATATATATGCAAATGAAGCTTATTATTATTTATTATTAGGGTTGATAAATATTTTAGAATACGTTGATCTAAGTGTTTTAAGAGTACTCAAAATCCTATTATAGAAAAAGAAGATTATCCTTAAATTATTGTTTGATTATTCTATCCATATATCATGTATATTCTATAATATTCTCACGTATCACTAAGTTTTAATCGAGAGAGTACGATGCGAGAAAATAATTTGAGTGCTTTGAAATTTTTTTCAAGAGACAAGATGAGATAAAGAGTATGAGTTCTTTAGGATTTACGTAGATTGATATATATAAAGAGAGTCATACTTAACTTGGATAACTCAAGAGTCTTATGATTGATCTTGTACAATGAATAAAATGATTTTTTTCATAGATATAGATAAAAATTTATCGAATCACGTTAATCTTGCATTGATGTTACCTTAATTTTTTTTATTTTTAACTTTTCTTTTATTTCGAGTTTTTAAATCCCGCACGACTCTTAGTTTGACGTGACATGCAATCTCCATTACCTCTTATTTACACAAAGTTTAGCCGATAGACGACCCCACGGAGAGAGAGATCGTTCATCATATCATATATCATATAGTAGGGAGAGAAGGATTCAAAGATCCAAAAGGTATAGTGGAAGAAAAAGCGACATATTGGACCCTTGCATGATCATCGATCAGCTCGTAGTGCTTGGAAAAGGCACGAAGCCATCGATTCGTATGTTCGCTAATTATTAATCTAATCATGATGAGTGCATCATTGGCGAAGTGTAGTATGAATGTTCACACTTGTTTGGCAACTGCATGGCCGTGGAAGATTAAACTAATGTTCCGATAACCAGGAAGATGGATTGGTATCATTAGGCATGACACCGAGGTTAGGTATGAGGAGAATCTAAAATAGCACACTAATGAATGAGTTAGTGCTGGTGATTGGATCCTCATCCCATCACCCACTAATGCAATTACAAGGTCAACTGTATACAAGAGTTTGAATATGCTCAAGATAGATATTGCTTGTATTTGATATAGCAAAAAAAATAAAATTAGTTTCTTCGAATTTTTGATATATTCCTTAATTATTGATACATGAGTTTTGATTTTTTGTTTCGAGTTTTCTTCCCCCCTCAGCATATTACTATGGGAAGAAGAGAAGGATGATTGTAATGTAATTCTTGTGCATAATTAGTCAGATTTCTGTACTGATACCAATTAAGAGAAATACAAATCAACATCAATTAATTATCCAATCAAAGATCAAGGTAGGCTAATGATTAAACTAATTTTAGTGAGGTGCCAAACCCCAAAACTTTTGATCTACCAAGCGAGCCAAAGAAAGATAGGATTACAGAGAGAGAGAGAGAGAGAGAGAGAGAGAGAATAGGGTGACCTAGAAGATATATAGGGCCTGCGTGGAGCTTGTTAGAAAAGACTGGCTACAATATTATAGACAAGGAATCGTTCTAAAGAGCATCTCCAAATGCGTGCTTGAAATCTAAGCTAACGTGGTTCGTGGATATCATTTGGAGCTTAATGAGCTAAAGGTTAAATGTCTCCTTTCCAAAGTGTATATATTTAAGTGGGGCACCTCTCTCTGCACGTGGATTTCATTAGCAATATTTACTTTCTTTTGTTTCTTGCTAAAGACTCCGAAACTTCCTACCTGAATGGAATGGAATGTGTGTATGAATGTAAGAAAGAGAGAGAGAGAGAGAGAGAGAGAGAGAGAGAGATCATGCATGCATTTGTCTCTATAGCCGCTTACTTACACCCACTCATCCTAAACCATAGTTGAATGGGTGGGTTTACTCAATCTTGCTTTAGTTTGTAGGCAAAAGATTTCGTCAACCCGATTTGCCAGTAATGAGGATTTAATGTAGATTAGCACACCAACTTTTCCGAGGGTGTCAAGTTTATTACTAACTTGAACATGTATGAGAGAGAGAGAGAGAGAGGAGCTGGTGGAGATGGTGATGCCAAAGTGAAGCCCTGTCCTTTAAGAATCTTCGCTTTATTTTAGAATACTCGGGAAAAGTGTATGTTGATATGAGTTACCACTCGAGTATTTCATGAATGATTTCTCTAGAGAAATCTAGAAAATATGAGGAGGAGGGACGATTTCATAGATACAGAAAAGTCCGAGTAATTTAGCATACTAGTTGATGATTCGTGTGTTTACTGGTTTATCTGAGAGCTAATCAATCAATCAAATCGATCGACAGGAATTAGTCGTCGAAGCCGTCCTCAGCTTTAAGTTTTTCTGAAGAATCTTTGGTATTTGTCAAAGAAGAAAGCATATATTCGCTTGCGGTATAGGGCAAATGGTGTGCGTTTTCGGTTCATGAGATAGAAAGAGAAAGGGAGAGACGAAAGAGGAAGACGAAGTGTGCTTTTGGTTGTCCTCAAACCCTCGCCTATCTTCTCCCACCTCCCCCATCCCATCCCATCCCATCCCCCTTTTTGTGTCAACTTAATGGGTTTGACCTATTAAATTTTGCCTGGAATGATATAGCGACACACCCATGGCCAAGCAAATCTTCTACTCCACTAAGCAACGCCACCACTCGAGGGGCTCAGTGAAATGATGCTGCTCTCCATGCCCAACCACCGGCGGTGGGGACTCGGGTCTTCGGATATCCATCCACCGATCAAGCTGGCTAAACAAATGACACACATCATGGCAAGCTCAAACTCCGTACTCCACTTGTCCTTGATCCATGCAACACAATTATAAAGGCGGAGGACCTATGTGCTACTACTGCTAGAAATGGATGTTCAATGTGGATGAATCTGGAGCTGTCGATGCATGGTCAATTTAATCATTGTTATACCTTTCTTTTGAGGTACCGAGTTAAAGTATAAAGATTATGGAGGGTGTATAAGGTTTACTTTACCGGTAACATTCTATACAGGACTTGAGATATCAAAGTATGTAGAGAGAGAGAGAGAGAGAGATAGAGAGAGAGAGAGAGACAGGGGCGCAGATTGCTGCAGTGATTACAAGTATAATTTCGAGGAGGTAGGGCTAATATGATTGCCCTTGGGTCTATCCTGTTCCTTGTTTTTGAGAAAAGTCTCCCAGTGATGATCCATGAGAAGAATAATATAGTCTCTCTCTATCTCTCTCTCTCTCTCTCTCTCTCTCTCCACGCATATCTTTTGGCAAAGTAGGGTTTCCACTGGGTGGCTTTTATACAGGCGATCGAATAGCAATAAGCCATGGCTTCACCAGAGAGGGATTGAGAGAGAGAGAGGAGAGAAGAGTGTGTTTTAGCTCAGGGCAACTCTGCAGGAACCGCACCCTATTCCTCCATATATGCCATCCTTTTGTTCTTGAATCTCGATTCAGTTCTACAGCAGGAGAGATAGAAAATTAGAGAGAGAAAGAGAAAAGAATGTTCCCGTCCAAGAAGCCAACTATGAATTCACATGAGAGGCCTATGTGTGTCCAAGGCGACTCCGGCCTTGTCCTCACCACCGATCCCAAGCCCCGCCTTCGGTGGACCGTCGAGCTCCATGATCGCTTTGTCGATGCCGTCACCCAGCTCGGAGGACCCGACAGTACTACCCATCTCCTCCTCCTCTCCCTCTCTCTTCCTCCCCACGTACACACACTCGATTCACATGATCTCACAATCTCTTCTGTTTCTATTCCGTCTCTGAATGGTCTGTTTGTTTCTGCAGAGGCCACACCAAAGACCATCATGAGAGTCATGGGTGTTAAGGGTCTCACTCTCTACCACCTTAAGAGCCATCTTCAGGTTCATATTCCAATAGCAACATGTTCAATTACATTCTATACTTGAGATTTTAACTCTGTTTCTGATGCTTTCAATCGTAGAAATTCCGGCTCGGAAAGCAACCACACAAAGAATTCAACGATCAGTCTGCTAAGAACGGTGAGACTTTAAATATCACCGATTTTTCCTGTTTTTCGTATAAATACAATCTAATCATGTCCTTCTACTTGCTCATCGCTGCCATGGTTTGCAGCTGCCCTAGAACTACAAAGGAACTCGGCCTCTTCATCGGCGATAATGGGTCGCAACATGAACGAGTAAGCCACCGGCATAATGACCAACTCCCTAAACCTTCAACTCAGTAATTGTCTCTATTTCCAGGAGATGAATTTAGTATTGAGGATGGTTGTGGATTTGAATCTCTTATAGCAGGAACATGCACATGAATGATGCATTCCGCATGCAGATGGAAGTCCACAGAAGGCTGCACGAGCAATTAGAGGCAAGACATGCTTTCTGCTCACCCCATCACCTATCTTCTCTTCTCACGCTTTCATTCAATCAGGTGCAGAAACACCTTCAGATGCGGATCGAGGCGCACGGGAAGTACATGCAGAACATATTGGAGAGAGCGTACCAGACGCTCGCGGCCGAGAGCATGGTTTCGGGTGGCTACAAAGGTCAAGCAAGTCGAGGAGTTCCCGACATGGGTGCCGTGAAAGAAATGGGTTCTCCAGTGAGCTACCCCTCTCTCCAGGACCTCCACATATACGGTGGGGATCAGCTGGAGATGCAGCACCAAATGGAGAGGCCCCTCGACGGGTTGTTCCCCACCGACGACAGCATTATGAGCAAGAAGAGGTCTAATCCGTACCATTCCAACGGGAAGGGTCCATTGATTTGGGCTGACGACCTTCGCCTACAAGAACTGGGATCGACTGCGGCATGCATCGTATCACAGGAAGAACCACCACCATCCAAGAGCGAGCAGCTTCAGATAGCGTCGTCAGTGATCGACACCGGCATCGATGCGGATTCCATAGCAAATGTTTACGAGGCCAAGCCTATTCTCTCGATGGACAGCTCTAGGGAGAAGAAGTACGATGGAAGAACTTCCAAGCTCGACAGGCCGTCTCCGAGAAGAGATCCTCTTCCCATGGAGATGATGAATCCCATGATCACGGGCGGTGCAATGCCCCAAGCAAGGAACTTGTCATATGGGTGAGGTTTTCTATCAGTCAAAACAAGGATTAACGGTATCATGCTTAAATAAGAGCTATTGAGTTAGGTTTGTCTACCATCATCATCATCATCATCATCATCACCATCACTAAACTTAGATTATCTATCTGAGAACATATATATATATATATATATGAGGAGCACCTTATGACACTCATGTTCGTCACTGCTTGGTTTTCCTGTATCCTGTGAGCGAGCTAAGAGAACTCGTAAGGATCCTCACTGCTGCATGTCGATTTAAGTATCGCTAATTACTACGGTAGCAACGCAAATCTATGATGTCAGACCAACACCTTTCTCGAAACTGGATTACTCGTGTTGTCATGCTTGCATCCGGTTTTCCATTTCTGCAGATTTTGTTAAGATGATAGATACATCGGTATTATGCCAGTCGGATAGATCGAAGCATTGCCCCACTTCATGTTATGATGAGGAAGAGTACGTGAGTGTCTCTTTACCCATGGACAGCCACAACTGGGAGCATTCTCGGAGGAGGACTTGTGGCTCGGAGACCCCTCTAAAAAGCAGCAAAAGAGATACAAGCGGCTCACTGGATCTAACACAATTTCCAACCCTCTTCTTGTTGGCTCGTTCTTTTGATTCTCCTGAGAGTCAGTGCATGACCCTTTCCTACCATCGTTACAAGCAAATAACCTGCGGAGGTTGATATCGATGCCAACGACGACAGCACATAAATCCACAGACATGGACGGGGCTTCCTTTTTCGAGCTGAGGCAGACAAATAGCATCATCGCCTCTTATTCCTTTCTCTTTCTTTTTCCCATTCCATTAGAAGAACACCGACTGCCAACTACTGTTCCACCTCATGACGATCTAGTGCATGTAAGAGCATATAAAAATGGTTTCTAGTAGCCAACAGTTTCCTATTTTAATTCTTCTCTCGTTCCTTTGTGTTGGTCACGGAGAAAAGAAGAGAGAAGGTGGTGCAGTTGCCTTTATTGGTCTCAGAGAAATGGAGGGAGGGAGCAAGAGAAAGATCTCCGACTCAAAGAGCAAGAGTGGGAGGGACAAAGGCTAAAGGGAGAGAACAGGAGGCAAAGAGGAGTCAGGCTCTCGAGGAAGCTTCTCTGTGGCGGAGCTTGGGAGGGAGGCAAAGGTGGTGGGGGGTGGGCATTTAAAATGCCAAAAGCCGGTGAGGTCGCGGTGGCCATGGGAGGAGTGTTTTGAGGCTCCTTTTGCAGTGGAATTCACCCGCGGGGACGAGACCAAAGCGCCTCTCGGATACTGCGCCGTCTCAGTCTCCGAGAGAAGGGACAGCTTTGGCGTGTGGGGTAAAGCGTGAGCGAAAGAGAGAGACAGGGAAAAGAGAAGGATTTGGGATAAGAAAGTACGATCAGGCACAGGGAAGCTTCGTCATCTTTTACGATGCGGTGGTTGCAGCGGAAGGCGGTGGTAGTCACGTTAAAGTTCTTCGTAGCATCCATGAATGAAACAACCCATGCGTTGGGAGGACAGAGGCTAAAACGAAAGCGAACAGTTCTTCCAAGTTGGCGAGTTGGTCCCAATGCACAAAATTTCCATCAATACGATGTAATGTTGACCGCAACAATGATGAGATCGCTCCTTTGACTCATAATTTATAATTAAATAAAAATATATGTTATATTATAATTTCATTTTATTATTAATATCTTTAGGGGGCTTATTTTGACACAAGTAATATTTTGACTCGTACAATGAAATAGATTTTCTTTTCCTGAAATAGAATCACTTTTACAGCATGATAGGAGAGACAAGTTTTCGGCAGTGAAACACTACATGTTTCTCTGCTTGAAGAATGCAGTCGCAATCCTGAAAGTGAACAAACCATCGACTGCAAAAGATCAAATTGCTTCAACTTTTACTCCTTTGATGAATCACAAAAATAATATAAAAAAGTTTTTCGGATCCGTTGCTATTGTTCTCAAAGAAGTCATCTTAGAACCCTAAATGTGTTAATGTGTCGTTAAACAAAATGGAAAAGAAAGAAAAAAATATATAGATTACATAAGCATGCATACAAAAAGATGTGAAACATGTTGATATTACTTGGAAAAACAAAAAGGGCCTAACTAGAAGGAAAAATCCATCAACATAGCAAGAAATCTAATAGGGGCATGCAACTCATTCCAAGAGTATATCACAAGTTTTTAGGTCAAAAATTTCATGTAGAATAGGCCATATCAAACAATTCAAAAGTGAAATCATGACATCTAATAGGGGTACCCTCCTGTATCAGTAAAAAAATGCTACAGCATTTTGCTTGGCAAGGATGATATCTAACTACAACATGGAAAAAAAAAAAAAAAAACAAAGAGATACAAACATGGTTGATATAATGCAGCCAAACAAGCTGCTGCTACAAAGATTATTTCCTTTTTTTATTTCTTTCGAACTGTGATGATCACTGTGCAAGCCGAAACATGCCAAATTTTGTCCATGATGTAAAACATCAGAACACAATCATGGCAGTATTACACTGCAGCAGCATCCATCCCTTTCCTATCCCACCTTGGTGTGGTCTCTATAGAGCTGATGTGAGACGAGCTGCCCCTTGCGCCTTGTGAGTTTCTTGAAATTGATGACTTGGAACTTGGCAATCTTTGATTCTTCTTCGGGAGCTGCCTCTCGCACCTTGTGAGTTTCCTGCTGACTTGGAGCTTGGCAATCTTTGCTTCCTCTTCAGGAGTGGTTTCCCTCACCACCACCGTCAACTGGCATTTGGGTCTCACCATGATCCCGCTCCGTTCTTTTGCATGGTATGAAAGTCATGTCATATACACCCTTTTCCCAACAAAGGCTTGCTCTACGGGGAGCGGAGCAACCAACAAACAAAAATACAATAAGGACAGCATGATTTTCTTTTTCATATTAGTAATGCAAAAAATTCATTTACCAACAAGAAGACGATCAGGGTTCAAGCCATGATAATCAGATTATGTGTTGCATTAGCATGAGCTGAATGGATTACCTAAGTTGGTTACATAATGGAACGATAAATGTACAACACAAAATACTTTGCATCACTGAAAATAATTCTATTACAACAGTTGCAAACCAAAAGTGAATGGATTTTTTTGTCAGACAAGGTAACATGCAACCTTATTGTACCTGATAGATGGTTTCTGCAGCTCGTCTTATGGTAGCTTGCAGTTGCAACAGAACATCTTTAACAAGCATTCCATGAACTAGCCAAGCGACCAGATTGACCTTACTGTGACTCTTAAATCAATATATGTAATGTAATTAGAGCTGGGTTACAAGAAAGGCATTTTGTCAAGTCATCTGCTTAAGGAGTTAGTGATAATTTGAGTGGCTGTCTTACATGGCCTAAAACACTGAAAGCACTTGGTGAAAAGAGGGGCCACCAGAAGAATCTTTGACTGGGCATAGGATCTAGGAAAACAATTGGCAACTCAACCAACAATGCAGCCCTTCCAACTCTAAGCTGGAAGTTCTAGAGAAATGATGAAAATAAAATAATAGCATTATAAATATTGATGCAACACTCATCAAGGAAACACGACTTGAAGAAAACAGCTACATGATCACCAGGCAATTAGTGCCAGAAAAAAATGGCCAACCTGAAGATGAAACCAAATAATAAGTTCTGGAACTGTGTTGGTTCCAGAGTAATTGCAAAAGGATATACATGATTTACAGGCAAATGCTGCCATCCAAAATCAAAGATGGAAGAACTGATGTAGGAGATCAAACAATAAGTGAACTGACAATACATAATATATCAAGAAATAGTCACACAAAAAAGTTGATGTCATTCCAAGCTACAACATTGGATGATATATTTTAAAGACAATAGTATGATATGACACATGAAGTAGACCATAGAGTTGAGAATTTTATTTAGGCACTTTATACCTATTAATAGTTCCGCTTATCTCGGAATAAATCTTGGTAGACATTTTAATTTCCACAAATACTGGCATTGCTACAAAATTAATTGAATTAGCATGCTTACCATTAATTCAATATAACTCCACCAGACCAACACGCAAATGCATATAAATGTATATCTCGTCTAAGCATTAGAAGTCCACCTCTCAATGAACCTGAAAAAGTAGGAGGGCTGTGTCAGGCAATTGATAACCAGTTTGACTTTGTTGGACCTAGTATAAATATGATAACTAAATACATATTGAACCATTCACTATTTGTGCTGCATCTCATCTGCACCATCCAGATGCATCACAAGAACATCAGAAATGCGCTAAGATATCATTCAGAAGCAGAAAATCTTACCAACATAAAACAAGGACTCTCATGTTGATTAAGAGAGGTGCTGACAAAATAGTTGCTCCAAGAGTATATACTCAAATTGATGATTTGGGACTATCTCATAAACAGCACTGATGGTGTTGCACAAGCTTTAATTAGACTCAGTTTGCTTCTATAGCTCAAGTGGTTCCTGAAAATTACCTGGCACCATATTAGACCTTGTCCAGGTACTACATCCCATTGGACATGTCTGGTTAGTATGCCTCATCATGGTGCTGACCTGGTGAAGAACAGAACACAGACACCTCAGTTATCCCACCATGTTGACAGACTCCAAGCCAACGACTGAATTGAATACTTAGCAATCAATTCACTGTATCAACGAATTTATCACAGAACAAATGAAACAAGAAAAACCAATAGCAGTAGCCATTCGCATAATACTAATGTAAGAACTGCACTGCAAAACTCATACAAGAGCCTCCATGGGAAATAAACAGGAATCAAGGAACATTATACTCGTATTGAGATCAAACATGGCTACCCTTATCTGGAGGCCATAAATAAGTGCAATTCCAAGTCACACTCATTATAACAATTATCTTGGATAACATCTACCTTTATTTTCAGAAAAGCATCATCTGAGGCTCTGAGCTCATTACTACATTGAACAATATAAGCCATTTGTAACAGTGAAAGCCAAATTTAGTGAAGTGTCTAAGTAACTGCCAACAACATAGCATCGGAATATTTTCTAATCTTTCCACAGGTGTATTGATTCATTTTAGAAAGAGAGTGTGTGCGAGTTGTGTATTTCAAGAACACGTTGGCTTCCATCCACCTGCACTTTATTTATGGTATTTATAGGAGAAATAAGAAAAAGATGCTTGTGATTTCGAGAATTCAGACAACTGCGACTTCTGAACAGACAACATATCTATATTTTGTCACAATTGTGATTGTAGCTGTTGTTTCTTGACTAGGAAATGACATACTTACCACCATCTTCAGAATTATTCTTACAATGTATCCATCCATCCATCCATCCTTAAACTACACTAGCAATGCATCCTTGTACATTTTCCAACCAAGAACTGCCAACTAGGGACGTTATCAGACAGTATCGACGATGAAATCCAACATATCTATTCTAGTCGAGAACACCATTTTACACAACATCGATCTCCTTATCTTCGTTTTACACAACCCCAATTCAACAAACCTTCTTCAACCGAAAAAACAATGGATTCGACGAGATAATGAGGGAGAAATGAAGAAAAGAACTTCCTTACCGAGAAGAGAAGCCGGAACCGGCGGCCTTCTTGGTTTCTCGGGGAGATGGGGGAGCCGGAAGAGAGCAAGGCGGTTACCGCTTAGGGATTTCCTCAGCGGCCCAAATGCATGACCCCATGGCACCATCAAGAAGATTTCCTCAGCGGAACGAACCGGGAACGAACCGGAAATAAACCAAGAAGATTTCCTCAGCGGCCCAAATGCATGACCCCATGGCACCATCAAATCGTTCAGATTTATTGGTGCGATAGTGATCATACTTGCTTTAAAAGCCGCAAAATTTTGATCGATCGGTCCTTTTAGATCACACGTTGAATGGTTTGACCTCCCATCATATAGCATTGGAAATCATTTTTCTCAGAGCCTAATTTTTCTATGGCATAATACTTAGTTCGATCTCCTATATTAATTAATGCAACCAACACAACTAATCATTCCACATAACCATTCTACTCTTAATCACGAGAACCTCCACATTGATCAGAGAAAAGGCAGCAATAGATGGCCCCAAACTTAATTTTGCTAACCCTATTTTGATACACCCATTTAATCTCATATTAAATATGATAAAAAAATATAAATAGTTTTATAATGTTTCGATATCCATCGATTTAGTCTCGTATTAGATATATAAAGAAATATAAATAAATTTATAAGATCAATATCCCATCAAAGAAGAATTCACACAAACACTAAGATCTTCCTATTAAAAACATCCAGCATTTATTTTTAGACACCACACTGCTGTGTGCTGGTTTTTCATCTTCCACAACAACAGCAACTGAGTGCAACCCCCTCCAATTCCTGTATTACACAAGCCAATTGGTGTTCTCTTTCCTGTCTTCTCTCCACTGTGTCACACTAGCTATCACACAAGAAGGTGGGGGTGGGGGGGGGGGTGGGGGTTTGGTGTTACAAGAAAAGAAACATCTGTGTGTGTAAACGACTGCTTTCGCCTTAATATCTGAACTAAACCTGTAGATGAATCTACATCGACATGTAATCCTCCTCTGCAGAAGAAACCAAGAAATGTCAGATAGAGAGGTGATCACAGACAAGACTTGGGAGGAGAGAAAGCACAAGCAAAGAATGACCTGACCTCGTTAAGCTGCTGTATCCTCTCGTAGAGGTCGGGTCTCGTTTTTGTGGTTGTCGAGAGGCATGTACTGTGACATGATGGCCATGATCTCAGAATCCATGTAAGACTGCGAGAAAGCAGCATTAGCAGTCACGTAGCAGTGAGGTGAATACACAGCTAGGTTTTCTAACACAGACTTACCCGGAGTCTGTACTTGTAGAACACATAGGCTGCTGTTCCAGCACCGACCACACAGGCCAAGATGAAGAGGGTCATAAGCCACCCAAATTTTGATGCACTCTTAGCTGCACAATGATTGCAGACAGAAGAGAAAATTTTGATCTCAGGAGACGTGGAAGAAACAGAGCACAAAAAACTTTAAATGAATCGAGAAAGAGAAGAAAATTCATCTTCTTTGTATTCATGAAAAGCGAATGAGCAATACAACTGTCCTTACCAATGCATGTGTCCTCAGACTTGATGTACAACAGGTTGCCTTTGCACTTGCAGTCATATCCACCCCATGTGTTCTTGCAAGAGCATTCGGGACAGTTGCAGGCGAGTTTCTCCTTACATTCATCCACATCTATCGCATTAAAACAAGATGTGCATTCATTCTCTGTGGATTCAGTGCAAAAGATAACAACGAGAAGAGAATGAAGTACCTTCGCATTTGTAACCATCGCCATGAAATCCATACGGGCAGCGGCAACCCGTCAAGTCGGAATCCTATGTGCATCAAGAGAATGTTTATGACCAACATAAGCTTCAAACAATGAAGGTGAGGAGAAATGAAAAGAAAAGAAGAGATTTGACATTACTGGGCAAGCAGAGAAGTTCTGTCCATTCTTTGTGTCAGACCAGCAGCCTCCGTTGTTGATTGCACATCTTCCAGGACCTACAGCTGGAAACCAACATACACAAGAGGTAACTCATGGATTAGCACAAATCGATGGGATTTTAACAAGGCTTTATGATGAAAGATTAAGTGCCTACGTATACAAGAATTGTAGCCATCTCCCTGGAATTGGACATTGTTTACGACAGGGCATTGACAGACTCTGCCTCTGAAAGTATCCTGATTGGGGTAGAGTTAACACAATGTTATCAGAGATCATATCTTCTGCTTAACAGGATAAAAACATCTCAAAGCTTCAGTTTACTTTGCAAGCGGTGATGTTCAACTCTGAGTCCTGCCAACACCCTCCATTCGAATCGAGGCACTCATTCGTCTCGATATCTGGAAACAAAATGATGTCGGTCAAAACTAAGAACCGGAGGCTTATTTAGATGAGTGTGATCATGGAATGCAATGAAAACCTGGATTCAAGCAAACAGAAGGCTCGGTTGACTCTTTAAATCCTGCACAGATTGCCTTCAGCACGGCAGTCCTCTCCAGTTTTCCTGTGGGGCAGTAAAATTGATAGATTATTTTAGCTCGGGGAAGAACAAAAGACTGAGTCCTCTTCAGCTTGGAAGAACAACAATGAATTGTGAGCGAGACCTCGATATTGAACGTTGTTTATGACCAAGGTGGGGAGAATAGTCACGTCTCCGCGAGTTCCATGTCCGATCTACAAATTATAAGAAGGATATCAGACAAATATTGGTTGTCTATCGAAATCTAAGCTAAGAACTTTAGCTAAACAAGTGTGCTGCACCTGAAGTAATTGCTCCGTCCTCAGGACATCATTATCGACGTCAGCTTCAGGATCACCCATGCACTTTGAGATCTTGTCCGAAGGCAATCCTAATGCATCAGAGGAGAAGAACTTCTTCATGCATAGAGTAGAATGGAGGAAGAATAGAGAGTTCGATTAAACCCAACACCACTAACCAAGAGATCTGACTACATGTTCAGCGCATTCCTTGCTATACTTCTTCTCCTTCATCGAGCATCTGACGTGGTAATCCGTCACGAAATCCCACCAAACCCGCGGCCGGCCGCTGTCGTTGGCGACTCTGTGAACGCAGAGCTGCCGCAAGTTCTCGATGACGATGTCTTTCCCGTCGTACCCCTCGCGGAAGTCCTGCTCGGGATCAGGGGCGCAGTACCTCCCGTTGTTGATGCACTGCGCCTTGCACTCCCGGCTGGGTTTGAAGGCGTCAGGGCAGTACCAGGTGATGTAGTGAGGCGTGAACCGCGTGAATCCTCCCTTCTCGAGGAGCTGCGCGTGGCCCTTGAAGTTTGCCACGAACTCCGTCTGCTCGTCGCACCGGTCGCCGCACTCGTCGTTGCTGTTGGTCCAAAGCTCGTACTCCACCCGCTCATCCGGATGCGGCATGGACTCTGTCCAGTCCAGCTTGACCACCACCTCCTCGGCCCCCTTCGCCAAGGCTTCCTTGAGGGAGTTGCCGAAGGTTTGAGTGACGAGTGCAGAGGGGATGTTTATCTTCTCTACGTACTCGTTGTCGTTGTCTTCTTCGGGGGCGTCCATGGTTAAAAGGGGCTCGTCGATGGTGTCAGCGACTATAACTGCGGCAGCACCATTTTGCTGCCCGTTGTATGCCTTCAAAGCAAAGTAGCAATCTACAGTAAATGGAGAAGAAGAAGACGATTAATCGCTAATGGTGAGAGGCCCTCTAATAAACTTTGCTTTGAACGAAAGATTGTTAGACTCATCAGCCGGAAAGAAAATGAAAGCACAGCTACCCTTTCCTTTTTGTTTCAGCTAACCAGAGATGTGAGCCTAAAAGAAATAGAGATCTACTATGAAGTGCATGTTCATCAATAAGAACAGAGTGATTCAGACAATCTATCACAAAGTTGGGGTCTATCAAATTGAGAGAGAGAACAAACACATGTGAAGAACAATCCAAGAACAGAACACAAGAATTGATTGCGCAGTTTACCTCCACGATCGACCAGTAGAATCACGGGTCTTCCGGACTTGGACCGGAAGGGGTCGCCGCCGAAGGCGTGGCAACCCGTTCTTCCCTTGTCCGGGTACACCACGACGCCGGTCAAGGTGCCCCCGTAGTTGGGCACGCCGAAGTTGGCGATGGCGGCATCATGGTGCCCCCGGAGAGACGTCGGGGAGACGACGCTGATGCTTTCAATCTCAACCACGAACCGGCCGGCCGCCAACCGGATCGCCACTGCTAGTAGGACGGCCAACACCGCTAGCTGTTCTCGGAGGCTCGCCATCCTTTCCGTAGAGAGATAGAGGAGAGGACCAGCAGTGGCCTATATGAGGAAGTATTTAGAGAAGAGACGAGAAGAGAAGATAAGCGATTATTCTACGGTGGATTCATCAGCTGGCGGAAGAAAGGTGAAGTCAGGAAGAAGAGTTGAAGAACCAACCAACCACCACGAAGGCAGGGGAGACGTGAGAGGAGCGAAAGTGACCGTTATTATTGTTGACGAAGTCTACGAGTCGACTCAGCTGTCCTTCCTAATTACCATAAATAACAAGAATGCCCCTCAGATTTTTCTACAGGACCGCGAACTCCTTCACAAGAAGGAACAGAGAAAGAGAAGAAATCAAAATCATCAACATCACATCATCATCTTCGCCCTCATCAAAATTGGTTGGGTTTGATTTGTCCCACAAAGCAATCCGCCAGTAATAATCTTGATGATAACATGAGAGGAAACCGTCAAACAAGTTGCCATGTCATCTCAGTGACGCGTTTGCTTTAGCCAGTCTTTGTTATCCTCTATGGCATTTTCTGGTGGAAGAATCTTTCTACACTTTGCATGATAATTTCAATTGTGAGAACAGATGAAATCATATATATAATATATATATATATAATTAATCTTAAGAGTCACCATGATTCACATTAAGGCGAAGATTACATAGTATGTGATGCATGTGTCATGTATATTTTAGTCATTTCGGAAGTCCACGGTCGGCTCCTTTGAGTACGAGGCAAGGTAACAGGTCTTCCTCCCTCCAGGAGCGTTGACGAGCTGCGACTGCAGCTTTCGCTAATCTTAAAGCACGATCCGGTCGATCGCGTCCGTCCACTAAACAATTGGGCTTCGATCTGGTGTACCAGAAACCAGTAGGTTTATTTTGGAGGTTTATATTACAAGATATTAGGCACACAATTAATGTACCATATTAATTTCAACAAGAGTAGGGAGAATATCTGAAAACATATTAATTTCAACCATCATTAGAGATCAATCGTAGACTTTGATCCGGTCATGTTGCAGCCATTGACTTTGATCTCAATTTGTGCGTTCCACCCACGCTAACTTCTTATTCTACAAAGAAAAAGGGACAAAACGTTGATTGACTTTAAGAAGTCTACGATGGCTACTCTAATGGTTTAAGGAGTCCCTATATATATATATATATATATATAGCAATCAAAGGGATCTAGATATATGATTTGATGTCAACCTACCAAAAGATTAAGATCAGATAAGTTCTAATACAATCTTCTAACGCTTAAATTAGTAACAAGACAGAGTATAAATGATCAAATTAGTAACATTAATTATCGTGATCCTATAATTTTTTATGATTGATCCAAAAAAAAAATAGTTTATAATATAAATAAAAATATCATAAATTTTTTTATATTGGATTAATATCCACATCACACGCTGACATCATACTAACAGGAACAGTGTCCAGCTTTGATTCGGATGAGCATTTCCCCTATCAGCACTTGTATTGTTTTACACCTCAGCTATAGATAAGTTTGAGCTCTATATATTTATTATAGAGGCATTTCTGGTGAAGCTAAGATAGCACCCAAAGATCTAAAAAATGACCTAAGATAGAAGTTCGATCGTTTTCATGATCTAATCGAACGGCCCTAAAATGAAACCATTTTTAAAGGCAGTGAAGACGATGATTATTAATACCACCATCTTGGAAATTTCTCCTGGAATTTTGATGAATCACAACAGGTAATAATAATGTATTGAAACTGAAACCATATTAAAACAATACTAGTGAAAATAGAGCTAGATGGAATTGGTAATAGTCCTAACCATTGTATGAGGTTCCTGAAGGCCACCAAAGGCTGGCTTGATTGCAGACAAGAGAGCCCTGACCATTGTCCTGCAGTGAGTTTCAAGTTTGTCTTAAGGCTATCTAATTTGATGCAAAGTGTCCAAAATAACAATTCTTCATGTAGAAAGATCAATAAATTACAACAAAGGTGCAACAAAGTCATTTTGCTTGATTGCAAGTGAGGTGTCTACCACAAATGTCACACATTTAAAGCGTAAGGTTCAAGTAAAATTGATCTTACCTTCCTTTTTTCTGTAAGCATTCCTTTGATTACTGTTCTCCAAAGGAATCATCCAATACCATCTGCAAAATCTTGCCTGGTTTATGACTGCAACTCATAAGTCTCACGTTATTTGGACCACCAGCAGTAGTGTATGCTCTTTTAGCATCAATCAAATGAATAGCATGCTGCAGATAAGTTAGTGACGAAAATGACACAAACCAACCATAGAATATACCGTTTATGTATGACTAACTCAGAATGGTCTTCCATCAAAAATGTCCGACCAGAAAACGGAAAGCAGTGTCATCAGTATATGGTCCTTTAGTAGATAAAAATGCTGTGATGAATAAGATCATGAGTCCACATCTAAGTGGTCATCCACCAAATTAACATCCATGGAAATCAAAATCATGATAAACACATTTTAGCATGTCAACAAAATTTCCATTTATAAACACCTCTATGGGAAACCCATTGTTGTAGGGGAAGGACCTGCATAGAGGGAATGGAACAATCCAATATTGTTGATAAGAGCACCGATCTGAGTGAAGTCTGAGGCTATTTCCTCTGCTTCGTCCGAGACCAGGACCATAATGTAAATGACAATTTATGCCCAAGCTCGACAAAATTTCAAATGCACATAAAAAAACTAATTAATGGTAAAAGAAAAGGTACAACATAGAAAACACCTGCAACAAGCTATATAACTCTGCAGTTCACTATTTCAGAAAACGCAAAACCTAGTTATTTTGCTTTTCATTATGCATCTTGTATTACAAGGTTTGGATGCAGAACCTGTTCTGCTGCCAGCTCTCTGAATCATTGTGGCATGCTATGGCACATGTGCCTTGATAGTTAGTTGCCTGCAAACTTATGTATATACAATGAACAATAGGAATATAGGATTCACAAGGTCAGCGAATAACATCAGAATAAACTGCAAAAGATTGAATTTTTATTTCCATCTAGCCTAGCATATGAAGAAAAAACTGTAACTTAATAATAGTTAAGGAAAGATCCTCTGAGAACCTAAAAATACATAAATCATGCATCAAAGCTACTAATATGCATATAATCAAACTTAACTAAATAAAATTTATAGAGTTAGCAAAGTTAGTTAACAAAACAATAACAGGTGATCATCACAATACAAGAATCAGATTCTAAAATGTCACAGATGAAGGTCCCTAATTATTTCTTATATTCAACTTTCAATCTTACCTGCCCAAGCTTTTTGATATCATTAGCGCAATCACAAAATTATATTACAGAGATATTCATCCAAGAAAATCTGATCAAGTATTCCAAAAAAGAAACAATCATAAAGCTGCTGCAAATGGTAGCATTCATCTGTTTTCTTTACCATATGTATGATTAAATTAGTTGTCCTTCCATCCCCAACCCTGACCACCAAACTAATAAATACGTATCTACCTTTCCTAGACACTCAATTCCCCACTGTCATTTTTACATTCTTATTAAAGTATGTAAAGGTCCTTTTCTATATTCTAACATGTGTGCAGCTACTATTACAAAGTGCCACAAGTATCATCTGATCAATTATAGATGGTTCACAGCAGTGATATTACAAACATTAAGACCAAATACAATTCACATAACCAAACAAGTGAGCGATAAAAGTAGTATAACTTTGTATGGTGCAAATTACCCCCATCAAGGAAAATGGATGTAGGATCCCAGATTTGCCAAACAAAACGAAAACAGAATTCATAGTATATTTCAAAAGAGATCATCAGTGAACCAAAAGCCAAATGAACAAAAATGTGCACTTCTTGGCATACCCAGCCTCCATGCTGCTATTCATCTTGTGGAGGCCAATCAAGAAACTTGTGCCCCAGGAGCGATGGGGGCAAATAAGTCTGCGATGAGCAATCTTTATGATCAGGAGGATACATGTAATCTTTGCCATATCCCATATCCTTCATCAGCTTTGTTGGAGCATTCCTCAAATGCAATGGCACCCCCTCATTCCCACCACTTGACTCTTTCACCACCCTCTTCGCCTCCCCAAGCGCCCGGTACACTGCAACTGACTTAGGTGCCAGAGCCAAATAAGTGACGCACTGAGCTAGACAGACATCACATTCAGGCATCCCAAGAAAATGGCACGACTGATAGCAAGCTACAGCATGACTCAGTGCAGAAGGGTCGGCGAGTCCCACATCCTCACTCGCGAATCGGACAAGCCGGCGGGCGATGTAAAGTGGTTGCTCCCCTCCCTCTAGCATTCTCGCCAACCAGTAAATGGCTGCATCTGCATCACTCCCCCGCATTGATTTGTGAAGGGCACTGATCAGGTTGTAGTGCTCTTCGCCAGCCCGGTCATACGCCAGGTGTTTGCATTGCATCGCCTCCTTCGCTTGGTCGAGGGTGACTGCTAAATTCCCCTTGTTGTCATGTAGTTTCCGACTGGCCGCTAGCATCGCCGCAATCTCTAATGCGTTAAGGGCAACACGGGCGTCGCCATCGCAATGGAGGGATAGGAAGTCGATGGCTTCTTGGTTGACAGACACCGGAGCTTGAGTAGTGACCTGTAGGCCTTTCTCGGGGTCCGAGAGGGCTCGGCGGAGTAAAGCCTCGATATGCTGCGGCTTGAGAGGCTGAAGAGAGAGGACGCGGCAGCGGGAGAGGAGCGGAGTAGTGAGTTGGAAGGAGGGGTTCTCGGTGGTGGCACCGACAAGGATGATGGAGCCGTCCTCGATGGCGGGGAGGAAGGAGTCCTGCTGGGATTTGGAGAATCGGTGAATCTCGTCGACGAAGAGGACGGTGCGTCGACCGTGGGAGCGGGCGCGGCGGGCGCCGTCGATGGCGTCGCGGAGGTCGCGGACGCCGGCGGAGACAGCGGAGAGGGGGACGAATGTGTAGAGGGAGCCCGGGAGAGAGGCGGCGAGAGCACGGGCGAGAGTGGTCTTGCCGGAGCCGGGCGGGCCCCAGAGGACGAGGGAGGGGAGGAGGGAAGAGCGTAGTAGGGAGGAAGGGCCGAGGAGGTGGTCCTGGCCGACGATGGAGTCGAGGGTGCCCGGGCGCATCCGGTCCGATAGAGGGGCGGCGGCGGAGGGATGGCGGCGCTTTATGGGGAGGGAGGAGGGGGAGGAGGACGAGGTGGAGGTGGAGGGGTTGGGGGTTTTAGGGGCCGAGGAGGAGGAGGAAGGATTGAGGGTTTTAGGGATTGCGAAGGAGGAGGCAAAGAAGCGCTCGAGGCAGGGTTGGGTGGAGGGGGATTGTGAAGGAGGGAGAGGCGGAGGAGGAACGGAGGAAGAGGAGGAGGAGCGGGTGAGGATCCAGTCGGCGGCAGCGAGCGGGGAGTGGCCACCGGTAGCAGCGAGGGCTTCGGAGGCGAGATCCTCGGAGAAACCCATGCTCAGGAGTTGTTCCATGGAGCCTCGTCCTTGGCGGGTGCTGCTGTTGTCGCTCCCGTCGTTGATCTCAAGCCCCTGCCATAGATGAAAAGAAACCCTCGTCGCCGAAACGGTGGCCAATGAAGGAAGCGGAACCGATCGCTTTATTCTTTACGTGAAAATTACCAGCAAAAAATCGATATAATATATATATATATATATATATATATATATATATAATACAACCAATGCAA